TTTTGTTTATTATATGCAATTTATGATAGATTACCTTTAATTTTATGATGGTCTTAGCCATAAACCCTGTACAAAAAATTTACTTTACTATACAAAGGCTTATATTATCTAGTTGAACGTTACACATTTTGTGACATAACCATGGCAAGTTTTCAGTATTTTAACTGTGTATCTAATAACCAACACATAGTAGAACATCCTTGATAAGTGTAAAGATTCAATCTTCAGGGAAGAATTGTGGTTGAAAAAAAAATCCTGAATGATTGTTATCAGCAATAACTGAAAAGTTTGGTGAAATTAATTAGAAAAAAAACAACAGAATTCCAGGCTACTTTTTTGTAGTGAAAGTAAGAACATTTCTACATGCACAAAAACTCTAGATTGGGACTGAACAGCTGCCTTGCCTTAAACAAAATACTGATCAGTGAGATTAACCTGAAAAAGGCTTCAGTTTACCAGCGAGCAGAAAGTTTGGATTCTGGACCAATGGAAGAAGGTCATATGTTTAGATGACTTCATATTTACCCTGTTCCAAACTGATGGGCGCTTCAAGAGCAACACCTGAAGTCATGCACCCATCATGCCTAGTTTCTACACACTAGGCAGTGCTATGATCTGGGGTTGCTGCAGGTCTAGTGTTCAGCAACACTGTGTGAATGAATGAATGTTTTTTTTCTTCCTTGATGGCATATGCTTTTTCCAAGATGACAGTGGTAGGATTCATAGAGCTTGCATTGCTCCCAAAGAGTGTTTCAGGGAATGTGGGATTTTTTCACATATGGAGTCCAGACCTTTACCCCATTAAGAATCATTGGGCTGTGCTGGAGAATGGGCAGCAGTTAGACTAGCTTTATCATGCAAGATCTAAATCGAAAAATGAATTCAACACTGGCTGGAAATAAATCTTGTGACATTGCACAAGCTTATTGAAACGATGCGAAAGCAAATGTGTGTTGTAATCAAAGCTAATGCTACGTTCACACCGGACGCAGCAAGAGCAGCAAAATCGCGTCTGCTGCTTCATTTTTGCTGCTTGTACCAGTCAGTTCTGACGCGCGGCTGAAGCAGCTTTGCTGCATTGACTTCATGGTGCAAAAGTGTGTCTGACGCGCGTTGGGCGGAGCTACTCTATCCTTTCTTTGCCTTGCGGCTATATTTGCTGTGTTCAGTGGGAATAAAGTTGTTTTAATATGTTTTTAAGTGAGAAAATACACCTGAAAACTTCATCAGTGCAGTCAGTTCATCCAGATTATAATCCTGCCTTCCAATATTATTTCTGTCGAAGCCGCTCAGACCCCGACAGCAACCTCTGGCCCGGTCGCCTCCTCGCGGTTCACCGCGGCGGCTGGTGGGTGTTTTTCATCTAAATAATCCAAACTGCAGGCAGCAGGATAA